TCAATAAATAAGAGTCTTCACATGCTCCTATCATATTCCAGAGTTTACGTATTGAGAGATTGATGCCAGAGGCCTTCACAGCAGAAGAATTATTGCTACAGGCGAGTCTTCAAAAGGGAGGTGCCACTGCACGTCACCCATTTTCACCCTGACCTGCGAACTGTAGCTCTTTACAAGCATGACTCACCGACTAAGTCATTCACGCACTCAGCATGAACTACAGATAGACTCTAGCTCTCCAAATGCCAGCAGAGATAAAAGATGAAGCAGTGGATGCTCTGTGCTAACAGTAACTACTATGGAGAACCCCCCCGGGAGATGACTAGCTTTAACTCAGATGTGATAAAATAATACTGTAGCGCTGATCTTAAGCCAAATGTAAGGGCCATAAAATATTAAACAACCATATATTTTTATGCGAGCAGCTGGAATAATGTGGGAAAAATGCTGTGCTGAGAACAGAAAAATGTTTGAGTGTCTAAAAAAGCACAGAAGTAACACTTTTCCAGCCCAATGCCATGTATTTAGTCCTTAAAAGCGCGTGTGCAGTTGAGTGTCGGGTTCGTTTTATGTGAATCACAACAAACCTTGGTTTAGCCGAGAATCAAGCGGCTTCACGTAATGGGCTGTTAACTGTAACCCTCCCTCCACATCACTTTTAGGTAGGAACCCACCGAGAAAACACACTGCAATTGTGCCCCTGCACACACATTTGCACAAACACACAGAATACATAGAAATACATTTATGCGGTGAAATTCCTTCCCTCGCAGCCCCATGGGCTAGCTGTTGCGTTAGCACCACTCCCACCACTATGCACTAGTGTTCCTTATTTAGGTCCAATCCTGCCTCCAGGCTGAAAATCAGTCCCCCTTCACGCCTGCGCCTCTCCCCAACTAACCCCACGTGTCTCAGACCACCGGGCTATAAGCCCCTCTGTTCCATCACTCCATCAGTGAGAGGAAGGCATGTGGAGAGGGACGACTTTGCACACCCCAGCAGCTTTTCTCCTGCACTGAGATGTACTTAGTGTACCCTGACTGGCAGCTACAAGGTGAAATGTGACACAAAAAGTGAGAAAAAAAAATCTTGCTTTTTTTGACATGCTAAAAAACATGTACTCTCTCCCACAGTGGCAGCCAGTGAACTGGTTAAAGTTACGCTCCTTAAGTCAAGTTGAATTTCGCCTTAGCCATCACATGTCCTCTTCGACTACTGTCAATTTTACAAGCTCTGCTAAATACTTGGTCAGACATGTTACATGTCATTTTAATAGGGAAAGAAACTACTTGTGATTTTGCATGCCTTTCCATACCCACAATGCATGTGGTCCATGTAATTTTTGCAAAGTCACCCATTATTTTTCTCAAATGACATTTTTGTAAATATTTAAAGCAATCTTTAGAAAATGGCAGAGTATGCAGGCTGGCAAGCCAACCCAATAATATTTTCCCATTGGAAAACTACACTACAATCATAAGGTATAAAAAATTACAGTCATGCAACTGTAGCAACATGACCCCTTCCCACTCGCACAACTATTGCTCTGCAAGTTATATGATGGCTGAAGGAGGAGAGTTTCCCCATTTTAAAAAGAACCCATGTTTTCACAATCTCCAGATAGTCCAGATAAGTCCCCAGAACAGAAGCAACTTTCTTTATCGGCTTGTTTAGCCTTTTTAAGTTCCTGGCTCTGATGCCGCTGTCCCATTAGATGATAGCAGAAGACAGTGTACTCTCCACAGATTTATCTCACTGCAAACAATGAAGGACCAAAACGTCTTCAAGATGCCTGCTCTGTCCTTTCTTGTAGACAACTTTATTATTGCAACTCTGGTCTAGTTGCAACGACAGAAACACGGAAATAGTCTTTCTGTCATGGGGGAATACATTTCTCTTGCAAGCTACAATCATCTTGAATTTGTTCACATTCAAGATGAGATGGTTGTTTCTACACCATGCTACAAAGTGACCCACCAGCTCTCTATGCTCAGCGTCTTGACGAAGTGATTCTGCAAATGACAGGAGTGTGTTTTTTACTCAAAGTTAGAGATGCACAAAGTGAAAAGGGATGGTAAGAGAACAGCTCCATGTGGTGCTCCTGACTACCAGCTCCAGTGTATTACACAACACGGTTGAAATAATAATAAAGCCTTAAGAGGACCTCTAAATTGTTCCGTCACCTTCTTAGCCCTTTTGTGTGTGTGTGTGTGTGTGTGTATTGTATGATTTTATCCCACCCTGGGAAAGGAAATGTTTATATAAGTTAATAAAATTTGAAATGTCACTCCTTCCATAATGAGTGGATATAAGTTTTCACCCAGAACTGTATTCATCTAAGAAAGATTTTCCAAACAGAGTTTAGAAATACATTTGATAGAGTTCTCCTCCCTAATTCTAGCTATCACATCAGGACAAATATTTCTATTTTCATTCTAATCTTTTTTCAGACACCGTCTTCAAGCTTTGCAGACTCCTTTCCTTTTGGCTTTTGTTCTGCTGTGCTTCTGCGCCACCGTGTGCAAAGCTGCCTCAAAAGGTCCCAAACCTGCCGGTGATGCACCGAATCACCACACCGTCTCTGGAGATAAATGCTGTCTTTAATTATCAGCGATCAAAGAGCCGAGCAGCAGCTTGTGCTGGCAATCTAGGAATCCCATCAACAAGTATTTTTCCCCTCGTCTATTCAGAGGAGCTGCCATCGTATTTTCTGTCTTCTTTCCAGACGTCGGTTTTGATCAACAGCGTAATGAAGTGCTGCACCATCAGACTGACTCACATATGCTTATCTAAAGTAGAGACTGTGACTCATAAAGCATCTGCACCCACAAACACACCCTGGGGTGTATACATGTAGAGAAACACACGTTTGGCTAATTTCTTCTAAGAAGTTATCCAGATAATATTTTCGTAGATTTTTTTTTGGGGGGGGGACAGTAAAGAATGCATGAGTGGATTGGATAAAGAAGTCTACAGGAATGTGACTGCCATGAATCAAGTTTCACCATTTGAAGTAGGGTTAAAAAAAAAAAGTACACATTTTTGATGATTGTTCAAGATTAAAGAAAAATTTCCAAGCTCTACAACCTACCACATAGTACACATAAAAGGAATAAAAAAGGCATAAATTGGAAAATGCTAAAAGAAGATGAGATACTGAAAAAAAAAACTGAACGTAAATGAAATGTGAAAAAGAAATTGAAAGAAGAGCAGCAAGAAAGATGGAAGGAAAATTACTTCTGACAACTGAGAGATGAGAGGAAAAAGATGGATGAATTATCAGTTTTACATCTTTGTGTGTGCGTGTTTTTGGAGGTCGGTGAGGTTTCAGCTGGGATGTTTGTTAGTGAAAATATCCCTGCTAGTTCAGTCAGACTGCTGCCACCAAAAGAGAGAGACATCCTAGCAAATTTTCAGACTGTCAAAGCTCAAACAGAGATGAAGTTGGAAGTTTTTCTTTTTCACAGAAGGTCTCATTTAAAAAAGAAACTTGCCAAGGAAAGCTGGTAAAATCTAAAACCAATCTGTGATCCCTTTACTGTGTTTTTACGTCTATCTCCTTTTGGTCTATTTTTTTTCTCCTTTGTTCTATGAACCCCCTTTTCCTTCGGCTTTCAAGTCCACTCTTCATTTCTTCTTCTCCCTTTTATCCAAAGCGCAGAGAGTTTCCCTAAGTCCCGCTGGAGCATACTAAACAAGGCCCAGAGGTCCAAACAAGAAAACGGCTGAGGAGGACAAACCAGAAGCAATCCATAATGGATTTTCTTCTCACTTTCATTTCTTTTCTGTGGGGAGGTGCAGCGAAGGCATCACTGGCTCAAAATGAGAGACTCAGGATGTGGAAGGGGATGAGAAGAGGTGGCAGGGATACGAAGCAAGCAGAGACAGTAGAAGGTCAACAAGGAATCGGTGCAATGAATATCATTCCTTTTTGTCTCAAAAAGGCCCGAGTTTCATAGAACAATGGATGGTATGCACATTTAAATTTCACACACATGCTTGTTTTGGCACATGCTCGGCTCTGTGTCCGAGTTTGCAACTTGATGAAGCTTATATACATGAATCACACCACCAGCCAATCACAGACGAGTCTTCTCCATCCACTTAGAGCATTCCTTGCCAACACTGCATTTGCTTGGATGAATAACATCCGATCACAGCCAGCAAAATCAGATACTGCATCAAATGGCATACGATACCAAACTGTAGGACATAGCAAAAAAATATAAAAATATATACAACAACCACTTGATTCTGTACTCTAATATTTAGTTACAGATACATATACTTATTCATCATTTACTTGAAGTTTTTCCTTTCTTGTTTTTTTGCTTTTAAACGTTACCAGCATTACATGTCTTGTTTTAAGAATCACTGGGTGAAGACTTGATAAGGATTTAACCAGTGTAGAAAATCTATATTATTTATGTTAACTGTATGGTTTTATTTTTGATTTTTTTAAGACTTATTGTTTGTGTTTAGGTATTATCAACAATGTCTACCAATAACCCATAATTATCTAATATTTTTAAATTTCCAGTCAACTTTTAAGACGGTGGACCACCAGTAGTGGTGGAGACCACATACCTTGTCATAGTATACGGTATCAAACATGTAAACATAGCAATACCAGCCTCATATTTTGGTATAATCTCTCTGGGTTGGAAATTTGATACTGCTACCCGAGTGTGTGAATGTTGGCTCACAAAATGTTTTTGTGCTCACACCCGAGTGCCTACAGCTCTGAAGCAAAAAATCCAGTGAATCGCCTTGAATATGTCACAGAGTCAGTGTGGGATTAGTCACTAAAAATGTTGCTCCCAAAACACCTGGAGCAGTTTTAGTTACATCCATTTTTATGATGCATCTACAGTTTTGACTAAAGGTGACAGCAAAGGATGCCGTCGAGTTGACACAGCGTCACGTAATCATAAGATCAACGTTTGTCAAAGCTTGCATGAAACACGAGCACATGTAATAAACTTTGATGGCATGCTTACCTTGTTCGCAGGTTCCCTGGGCTTGGCGGCCCATCATAAACAGACAGGATGTCAAAATCCTCCTCCAGGGCGAAGCCTTGAAACACCAGCTGTATCCGGTTATGATCCGCTCCCACAATGACCCACGTACAGTTGGCATAGTTTGGATAACCGTAAGGGTATCCAGGACTCTCTATCGTCCCATTGGGACTGTGTAGAGTATAACTGCAGTTCTGAGCTGCAGAGAGAAGAAGAAAAACAAAAGACGACTGTTAAAAAAAAAAAAAGACCAGAGGGCATGCTAGGACAGGCACAGTGTAGATGATTTTCTTTTCTTATGCCTACGCCAACATACTTTGAAGAAAGAAAATTAGAGAAATGCACACCCACAGTCAAACTGTTTGGACCAAGTGCTGCAACATCCATTATCACCCACAGCTTGTAGCATGAGCTATTAATATTGTTGTGCTAAATGGCTCACCGTCTCCACTGCTTTTCCTTACCTCTTTACCACTTCTACCGTCACACGCATGTTCAGTCACCGGGCCTGGCACCACATTAATAACTGGTTCCCATATTAATGTAAGACATACAGTTGCTCAAGCAGAGAAGACAAGGGGGAGGAGAGGATGTGGAGAGACACACTTGAGTGCCTTTTTAATTTATGTCACCTCGTGATTTCTCCCTCCCCCACCCCCAATCAGGTTGTACGCAATGAAATTTTAATAGTACATTGTTGCCATCTATCAGAGGTGGGTACGTAAAATGGGAATTCTGTGTCTACGCGTTCCGTCTTCATGGATTTAGCTGCGGGAGGAAATAATGTTTTACTGTGCGAACGGTGTTTTATATTTTGTGCAAGTCTCCATGTTATGTGAACGCTTTACTGTGAGGGAACAAATGAATAAGAGTGCTTAGGTATCGCTCCCTAACTGATGCTGCAGTGATGTGATATCATGTTTTTGGTAGCGATGGTTATCTCTCGTAAGCAGAGCGGACTGAAGTAAGAAAAAAAAAAAAAAACTAGTTTAAATCTCCTCAGTAGCAAAATGTGAGCAGTCAGCTGTCAGTCTGTTACCGACAAGTGAAGAGAGGATACAATCTGATTTTGAGAGACTGGCAGCAGGACTGTTGCATTCTCATACAAGCTGCAGAAAAGCCACCTGTGCAAACAAGCACCCTCACGTGGGTTCCATTTATTCACAGGATGTACATTTTATTTTTGTTTTAATTAGATAGAAAACATAATAAAACTGCAGTCTTGCTATAGTTTAGAGTATAATTATTACCTATACAATCGGCATTCTAAAAAAAACATGGTTAATGCAGTCAGTTGTTTTGTCCTTTAGAAATGATTGTTTAGCACCAATATCACAGAGAATGAATTGCTTCTCGCTAAACCTAGAAAGACAGACCAAGTACAGTGAATGGATGAATAGACGTCAACAATAAAAGTTATTTAGAATTGCCTTTCCTAACACTCAAGGTCACTTTGCAAAGGTTACAGTTTTTTGCAAATGTATTCAAGCCCTTCCAAGAATTTTCCATTTTGTTGTTTTCCAATAATGACGCATTAATTTGGGATTTCAATTAATTGATGATCACAAAGTAGTTCATTAATTGGGAAGATTGAGAAAAATGTTACACTTTTTTTTTTTTTTCAAAAAGAACATTTGAAAAGTGTGCATGTGTTTTCAGTCCCCATTTCTCTGATATCTCACAACAAAAATAAAGCGTAAGCCCTCAGAAGTCACTGAAGTAGTAGTCTAACTATGTGTGAGATAATGTTAGTAAATACAGCTGCTCTGTGAAATCCTCAGAGGTTTGTCAGAGATCATTAGTGAACAAGCAGCATCATCACAACCAAGGAACACAGCTGGCAGGCCAGGAATAAATTAATAGAGCGGTTTAATGCAGAGTTTGGTTATAAAACTATATTTCAAGCTTTTAACGTCTTATAGCACCGATCAATCCCTTTTCTGAAACAACTGCATTCCTAGCAAAATTAAACAGTCCAAGAAATTATAGTATCAAGTAATAATTTTGGGAGCGGTTTTTAACCTAGTGCAATGGGGGGAAAAAATTGTATATCAGTACAAAGAGAATCTTGAATTAAATCAGGGAACCACTCAAGAAGGTCATAGTAACTCTGAACCAACTGCAGATACCGAGGCTCAGGTGCCAGCAACTGTTGATGGTACTTCTGTTAATCATGTTCTCCAAAAAGCTGGCCTTAGTTGGAAGAAAAAATGCTAAAGGGAAGTTTCTATTCAGCAATCACATGGAGCCTGGTTATCATGGATAGAGCTAAACACAGGGCAACAATGGAGGAAAACTAATTAAAGGCTTTAAAAAACTTGAAAGTGGTTGCAGAACTTTACATTCCTGGAATTACAGATAGAGCTACAATGGCATGGCTTAGATCAAAGCATTCACCGTAAGATTGTACAGTTTGCACCTTAATACAGTTAAGTTCTTAAGCTTTTTTGAGGTACCGAACCCACCAGTTTCATGACCTAACTAGAGTCTAGTTGGGTCACCCCATGATCACCAAGTCTTCTTAAAAGGTAGAGTCTCTGAGAACAGTTCTTCAAAATATAGTCAGTGTTTTCAGCAAAGTTGAGCTGACTGTCCAGGAACGACCCAAGGTATTTAAAATTTGCCACAGTTTCAACAGGTTGGCCATCGAGAGAAACTGGAATCACGTTAAGGTCTTGTTTAGATCATTTAATTAGCTCTACATTCTTAAGAGAATGAAAAATGAATAATAAATAATAAAGACTTTGCGGTATTCTGATTTAGTAATGTAATTATATTAGTTGTGTTACCACCCCCACGCCACTAGAGGCAGTACCAACCCCGAAAAGATGCGACTAAGGAGCAGATTTAGTGAGTTTTGCTGAAGTAATTAAAGACACAAGTTGAAATCCATGCTGAGAGTGGAACTCCTTCAATCAGTGCTCCTCCGCAGCACTGATTGGCTAAGCAATGTATCGTGATCCTTTGCACCAAGTGATGGCAAAGCGGGGCGTGTCACCACGACTTTACACAAGTGTGTCTTTTCCTCCGCGGCAGAGGCTACGCCGAACCCCTGAGACGGACTCGTCGAACCGCTGGGGTTCGACCGAACCCAGGTTAAGAACCACTGAGTTAAGAACACGCAACATGAAAATGGATTTTTACAGATACTCTTCATCCATTCTTGAGCCATTTTAAGAGAGGAATCAGCATATATCCAAGTCTAGAGGATCTACAAAAACTGCTTCTATAAAGTATTTAGTTATAAAAAATCAACTATAAATGGACTGCTGCAGTGTCTTAAAAGAAATGTCCTTTCACAGTCCCTTCATATTTGGGCATGTGAAACAAATGGAATGAATTATTTGCAAGGCAATGTATTTGAATAGGTAAAAAAAAAAAAAAAAAAATACAGTAGTCCAAGTGAAGTGTAATTCCTTTGGGCAGACCTCCTTATTGATGGCTCCTCTGCCATTTAAGTTATTATTGTGCTAGATAGATCTTCTCTTTTGAACATTTACCATCTTAGCCTGTTGAAATTGTATGCATTTGTTACGAATACCATAGAGCCATGTCTGTGAAAGAAATGTGCTCAAACACAATGCAAATGATCGACTAAAAGACAGCATAAATTAAATATTAAATAAAATATGTTCATCTGAGACTACTTTGGGGGGAAAAGTCATTCCACTTAATTTATTTCCTGAGAAACTTAAGAGAACTTGCGCTACTTTGTCCACAGTCTCTAATGGCTAGCTCAATCCCCGCAGCTCTGAATCCATCCAAACTTTCTTCTCCGAAATGTTTTTCATGTCTCACACACCTGCATGGATTACCAGGTACTAAGACAGCAGGCATAAAAACAAGATGACAAGAAAAACAATCATCTGAGAATTACTTACAACTGAAATAAATATTTTCTTTAAGAAGAAGAAAAAAAAAAGCAAATGAGAAGAAAGGAGCCACAAATTAAGCATGGACATGGTTAATCCCTGGTTAGGCACACAAGCAAATTCGGCATTTGTTGTCCCAGCTTTATTCGAGGCTTTTATCATTTGAGGGAAGGCACATCAGGCCATTTGTCAATTCTAACTTGCAGCTGGAAAACATGTTGTGACACACACGCACACACACACAAACAAAGTAATATTATCTTTTGGTTGCAAGTAAAGCAAAAAAATTGTAATGACAATACACTACTGGGAGGATGACGAGTGGATGGGGTTTCAGCATGACATCACAAGCAGCAGCATAAGGATAATATCATCTCGAGTCAGAGTATATCCATCACAGTGCTGTTGACTCCTGGGGGCATGTCTCAGCGAAGAAAAAATCAGTAGCCACTAAGCCGTCACTTTCCAGATCTTCATATCTGGTTGACATCTTCCAAAAGATGCTAATGTGTGAGTGCTTGAACTCTGACAACATTAATATATTTAGGCAGCTTGTTGCATTGTTGGAAAAAATAAAAACGGAAGGTGATGTGAAGTCAAATAAAAGCGGCAGACATCACCAGATTATCCCCTCCTCAAAAACGCAGAGAAAAGAACTAAACACTGCAGCACTTACTCTAATGACCCCTCCTTGTTTTTATTCTCAATCATAATTTTTAAATCTGTAATTAAAGAAAAGAACAAAAACAAACAAAAAAAAGTTCTAATTGAGAGCAATCGCCATCTGATTTTTCATTAAAGACGTTGAATAGGCTCTGCAAGCGGGTCTCCACCCAGCAATTACAATCAGGTCAATACCAATATCCAGGTAAAGCCTCACATCCACCTCTCGCAGCTGATTTTCATAAACGCAGTCTGGTCAATAATCCCCTCATCATCTCTTTCATTACAAAGCCTCTGTCAGACAAATGCCAATCAATGGCTCAGCCTGGTGGTTGGCACTGATGGAGGTCAGGGTTGACTATGAAGCTTGTACATGGTATGTCCATTGGGTAATACTATAATGCTGCAAAGGTCAAAGCAACTTAGTTGGTATTAATAAGTTTCATGATTAAATTGAAACATGAGAAGAAATAAATTGTCTTACAATGGCTACTGGGCGTGCAAATTGAAAAAGGAAACAAAAGGGAAAGGGCATTTTAAAAGAGGATTAAAGCTTGTGTGTTGATGCAGTATAGTGAACACGGAAGGCGTGCTTCGCACTGCCTGTCTTAAACTTCCTTACATTTGTATTTATTTTTAGGATAAAGCCACAAAAGTCGGTGTA